GAGAGAGAGAGAGAGAGAGAGAGAGAGAGAGAGAGAGAACCCAAAACGGGAGAAATGATAGAGGATGCGCAGAGAAGGAGAGGGAGAGAGAGATGGAGAGAAAGAGAGGAAGTGAGGAAGTTAGAGAACAAGTTGTACTCGGAAAAGAATATAATTTGACAAAAAAGTGTTTACTGAGCAGTAAAATTAAGTGTGGATTGTGGTGATTTTTGGTGAATGAAAGAACAAGAAGTGAAAGCCAAGATAAAGTAGTTTTTCTAAATGCATTTATTTGCTGGCAAAATATGTTGCCTTTAGAGCGGGAACTGACAGCAGCAGTTCAACAAGAATACATAGGTGCCAAAAGTGACCAGAGTAATAAAAAGTAAAATACAAAACTTTGTAAACGTAATGCAATTGGTCTTCTTTTTCTCTCTTAAATTAAGTACTTTTTCAAAATGACCTCACGTTTAGAACATAAAAATAAGAAAGTGAACAATTAGGAGATTAAGCAGACGAGAAACAAAAGAAGAAAGCAATATCATTCATTGCAATAAACTTTATACAGCATATTAACAAAATAGAGTCTCTATAGTACAAATGAAAAGCCATTTTTTGTAAGTAAATAAAAATAACAACAAGTGAATAATTGTAGTAGTAGTAGTCAGGTGCTCTAAGCAAAAGAAAAGTGATACATCTCACACATCCAGGTAGTTGTACTTGACTGACTGGGCAGCACCGTTGGGAGATTCAATCGGCTGGAACATCGCTGGAGGCAGTTTTCTTGGAGCACCCAACACAATGGGACAGGTTCGAGGAGAGGGCTGCAGCGGTTGTTGTAGACCAGTGGAGGACATCAGCTGGGAAGGGGGTGACAGAGGAGGTTTCTTGGGCGGAAGTGGAGGTGGTGGTGGAGAGGAGGAGGAGGAGGGTACTGACTGAAAGCGACGCAGTGGAGGTTTCAGTGTGGTGGTGGCTGCTACTGCTGCTGCTGATGGCAGTTCACCACTCATCGAAAGTGGCATGGGAGGTGGCGGCGGTGGTGCCATCGAAAGTAGCTGCATCTCCTCCACAGTGCTATTCAGGTCCAGTGGATACGCCGAACTGCCGTAGGTCGACTGAAAGTGGGCGTGATTTTGCAGCTGACGAAGGTGGTGCAAGTGGTGGCTCGTTTTTGGACGTGGCACTGCAGGTGGAGGTGGTGGCTGCTGTTGCTGAGTATCACTAGCTCGGGGCGGTTTCTCCGGAGCAACAGGGTAGTTGGAGGACTGTGTAAAGATTCCATAAGCAACAGATGATGTTGACTGGTAGGAAGTGGTGCTCTGAGGGGACAGCTGCGACTTGGAAGAAGTCAAAGTACTGCGTGACTGGGCGCTTTGCAGAAGAGAGGGGTGCACAATTTTGTACGGGGTAGTCGCCTGAGGCTGTGCCAGAGCTGCAGGAGGAGAGAGGATGCCACGAAAGAAGGAGTCAGACTGAGTGTCATCCCCTGGCGGACTGCTCATGCTAGTGCTCTGCGCCAGTGCCGACGTGGAGTGGTGGTGTGGGGGCGGCGAGGAAATGGCTTCAAAAGAGGACATGCTCTTTGCAATTTCCTCACTTCTCCTGAATGCCTTAGAGGCGGATGATCCGCCGGTGAGCACCGCCGGGACATGTCCTCCCTTTGGCTCCCAGCCGTACTCCTTCAGNGAGGACATGCTCTTTGCAATTTCCTCACTCCTCCTGAATGCCTTAGAGGCGGATGATCCGCCGGTGAGCACCGCCGGGACGTGTCCTCCCTTTGGCTCCCAGCCGTACTCTTTCAAATCATCTCGATAGCTGACCAGCACCCGGTGGCCGTCGACAATGCTCAAAGAGCAGTTCAAGTCCACCGGCGTCTGCTGGGCGTCGTCCAGCGTCAGGCGCACGTGCTCCGGGCGAAGGCCAGCTCTGCTGAGCAGAGAGCGGAAGACGTGCGAGCAGAGCAGACCAGGTCGCGACTTGACGCCAATCACCTCATCCTCAGAGGGCAGTTCCAGTTGGAAGAGGACACGCTGCTCGATTCGCAGTTCACTGCAGCCCAGGCTGGTCGTCTGCAGGGAGGTGTCCAGTGGCTGAGGAAAAAAAAGTAAATTGGAAATGTAAGTCAGTGATGCAATGACAGCCGTGATTATTACTCTGAATAGCACGTCAACTTGAAACGTCTAATCGCCCACTATTTGTCTCTCCCTGACCACTTACCACATTTNACCAGGTCGCGACTTGACGCCAATCACCTCATCCTCAGAGGGCAGTTCCAATTGGAAGAGGACACGCTGCTCGATTCGCAGTTCACTGCAGCCCAGGCTGGTCGTCTGCAGGGAGGTGTCCAGTGGCTGAAGAGCAAAAGTGAAAATTGAGAAATTGGAAATGTAAGTCAGTGATGCAATGACAGCCGTGATTACTACTCCGAATAGCACGTCAACTTGAAACGTCTAATCGCCCACTATTTGTCTCTCCCTGACCACTTACCACATTCTCGCCCGTTTTAAAGACGTCAAAGGCGGAAAAGTCCAAGTGCCGCTTTTGCAGCAGCCGTGTAATGAGTGACTCCAAAGTCTCCCTCGCCGTACCGTAGGCGACCGTCTGCGAGCGATCCGGGAAGCTAATTCGCAGAAGGTGGCAGTTCGTTCGAGCGCAATGTGGTGCGCATGATGTTGAAGCCGAGGCTGAAGCTGAAGGAGGCGAAGATAAAGAAGACGACGATGACGACGACGACGAAGATGATGAAACTGCTGGCGTAGAGGCTGCTGCTTCATTTGCATAGTTGACAGATGCCGGTGAAGTGAGCTGTGAAAAGACGCTCTCGCCGTCGCCGGTAGTGGAAGTGGCCACCACTGTACCAGATGTCTCCGGCAGTGGGGAGAAGACTGGATCGAGGTCAAGCGATTCGGAAAGCGGCGGTGAGTCATGAGGCTGAGACTCAGCCAGCGTAAGTGATCGCTTCGATGGTCGGTGGTGGTGATGCTGATGGTGATGTTGTTGTTGCTTTTGGTGGTGGCCACTGCTGATGGCCGCAGAGGCACTGCTGGTGGAGGACTTGCCGCTGCTGCCACCTCCGCCGCCGCTGGTGCTGCAGCCCACGGAGGAGAAGTGCCGCTGCTGTGCGGCCACCGAGTTGTGCAGGTGCTCGTCCAGCGACTTGGAGCGCATCTTCATGCCAATACTGTTCGTCAGTTTGCGCATCATCGGCCGGCGGAAGGTGGCCGCGGTGAAGGCCTCCTTTGCGGGCATCGAGGAGATGCTGGCGGCCTTGGCGTTCGCCAGCGACGACTTGATGCGTGCCCAGGGCAGAAAGGAGCGACGCTTCGATTTGATGTTGTTGTTGTGCAGCTGTTTGCTGTCCTCTCCCAAGCCTAGATCAATGGATTGGCTGCTCTGCTTGCCGGTGGCTGCTCGCTCCTCATAGGGCAGAGGTCGCCCTGACTGCTCAGCACTGGCACACTCAGCAAAGATGTCGGAGCGGAGGAATCGTGGATAGCTGTCAAACTTCATCAGGTTGTAAATCTAAAGAATTGGAGAATATTAGTCGAGTGTAAACAAAAGTTGCTCAAACTGCCAATCGTATCCTTACCTGTTTCTCTGAAGGTGCAAACATCTTGCAGTCCCTCTGTCCGCTGGCAAAGGCAGCGTCAATCTGCTTTCGGGCCGCACTGTCCACATTGACCGGATCAGTGGCGCCGGGAGACAGGTAGGTCGTGTAGATGTGCTCAATGGAGGCGGACAGTGAAGTGCCACTCTGCTCGGTCAGCCGACGACACGCCAGGTAGAAGGAGAGGTTTTCGGCGCTGAACTCTCGAGACAAAAAGTCCTTGAAGGCCTTCACTCCGATTGGATCAGCGAGGAGGACGTCAAAGTCAGTGGCCCAGCCGCCGACCCAGCCCACGTCAATTGGCCGCTCTGAAATGCCTTCAGGTGGTGACTCCATCAGGCTGAACTTGGGTGCGACGTTCTGGCCAACAGTGCCCTGGCCAACTGTTGATGGAGTTGACGGTGCCGGTGGTGGTGGTAGTGATGCGACTTGCGCTGATTTCCCAACAGTTGGACTGCATTTCTCTGGGGTATTCGGCTGCTGAGTTGTTTGTTCTGCCGCTTTCAAGTGCTCCTTATCCTCCTGATTGAAGTGGCTGACAATGTCGGGCACGGCTGCTGCTCGAACCAGGTTGCTGTTGACGGCTGCTGGCAGTTGCTTCTGCAAATTGATTAAAAACACAAACTTTAAAAATTGTTTTCAAACAATATTCCCCCTACTAGCTATTGGTAAACTGCACCTAGTTATGATGTGCACTGTACTGCATTACTTTTATAGTTAGCACTGAACTTATTGATTGGAAAACACATTTTTTGGTTTTGTGGCTGTCGACAATCGGCTGCAGCAGTCAATTGCAGACATGTGCCAACACAACTGAAAGGAAGAATGGCCAAAAAGGGAAAAGAATTAAAAAACTGACAGAGTAGAAGAAAAGGTGGAAAAGGCAAAGCTTTTAGCCGGACGGGGAAGTGCGAGAACCAGAGTTTGGTAATCTCTATGGATTAGTGAATTCGGTGTGACATTTCAAACACACTGACTATTGAATCAAATAGTAAAGGTCAACTAATGCATTTGAAGCATTTTTGAAAAATAAACGACATTGGCAGGGCACATCAACTGCTGCTGACAGGAGTGGTAAATAAACAAAACTTCGAAACTAGTGTAAATTCAAGTGCACTCACTTTAAAAATCACTTTGAATTATTATTAGCATTTTACATGCTAAAAATGTTGTTACTTATAATTATTACTTGAAAATATACAAATATAGTAAAAAATTTTATTAACTGTAAAATTGGCAACATACTTTAAATTTCATGTTAAAATTGGAAAATATGTTGATATAATAGTACCATGAAAAGCCTGTAAACTAAAGCGTTACACAAAAAACAAACTATTTTTAAAATTATCATGACTAAACACTTTTGTGTATAATTTTTTGTCAACACTACTCTTTGTATTTTTCCTTACCTAAACGTAAATTGATTTGCCATTTTGCATACTTGTAAAAATGCGTTTAAATAGAACAATTTTTATTTTAGAAAATGAGTACAAAACAAGAAATAAACAAATATATGAAACACATTCAAATGGTTTCAATTTTAATTTACTCTGTTACAAAATATAAATTTACATTAAATGATAATTAAGTTAACAGTGTAAAACTGAAAAACGCTATCATATTTGTAAATATTAGAGTGACATTTTAAAAAATGTCAATCAATCATGGTTTAAATGCTAAAATACTAACACAATAAAATTTTAAATAAAAACCAGTTAATTCGAGTATAAACAAAACTAACATTTTTATAATATAGAGAAGCGCTGAGTGAGAGTGAACACAAGCATACGTAGTCCAGACTGACTTTATTGGCAAAGAGTAGCTGCTTATATACAAACAGGCGACGTAACTTCGAACTTCTCAAAGCCACGTCGCTAGCGGCCTATGGGCCGCTACTATAGCTAATCACAGTCAGTTACAAAAGAATTTTTACAATAGCTCAAATGTTTTAAAATAGCAATGCACTTAGATCACCAAACAATAGAGCTTTCACTAAAATAAATATTAAGTTTCATTTGTATATTGAATATCTCATTGAGTTTGACCAAAACTATGGTGATTTTGTTTTCCATAACAATAAAAAGAATTAAAAATATATTCAGAAAAAGTCACGGTAATTACCTTATCTCTGAGTAACAAAATAATATTATTTTGATGTCAATTCAGGTTACTATTTACATAATTATCTTGGCAAATGATAATAAAACTGACCCATTAAAATGACCAGAACATATCTGCACTCAAAACTACAATTTTTGTTAAAATATCAAATTGTCGCAATTTTTTTTAAATGATTTTACCCTAAATAAAAAGCAATTACATTTTTATAATATTTAAAACAATTTTAACCTAAATTGTTTAGCTCATCTGTGTGAATATTTTTCACATTCTTGATTGCACAAGTGAAGCGTGTGAAAATAATAAACTTTAGAAATTCCGGTCATATTCAGTACAAAGCATGTGCACTGGAATAAACTAGAAAAGTTTTTTTTATTACAGATTTTTGCAAAAAAATAATTATTACTTCTTTCACTAATAAAAAACTGGTTAAAATCTTGTAGTGATTATGTCAAGGTTTCGGCCAATATATTGAACACAAAATACAATGCGTTAAAATGTTTGGGTATTGGTTTTTACTAGTCAGATAAAATTATTTGACACTTTATTCTGTGGTTTTAATTGAAACCTAATGAAATGCTAATGACTAAACGGCAATGACGATTTGGTAATTTAGTTTTTTCGCTAATGAATTCAGCGTAAATGTAATATGAATTCATTTAAAAAATATGCTATTTTTTATAAACTATATAAAAATAAAAATAATTAGAAATCAGTTAACTAATTGAATAAATTTTTGTTTTGAGAAAAAATAAAATAAAACAAAGCCACTAACAAAAAACAGTGCAAAAATTATCTCTACCTTTTCATTATCTTTGTCAGCATTTTCGCTCGCAGTAAAGTTGGCAATTTGAGCAAAATCGTCATTTGTGGCTTCCGCCTTTGGTTCCTCCTTGCAGCCGGTCGAAATCAATTGAGTGGAGGTCTGAGTAGTCTGCTCCAGAAGAGTCATCTGGTCAAAACGCTGAGCCAGCAAAGCAGGCCGTGGAACAGCTCCAGTGGACAGCATGGAAAGGTATTTGGCGGTTGCTTGGCGGACGTTTGACGGCTCAAACTGAGCTTCCAGAGCACATGAAGCACTGACGCCTGCTGACAGGTCAGTGCAGGAAGAGGGGGAGTGACTGAGGAGAAAGTGAGCAGGATTGTTGGCACTGGTCAGGTGGGGAAGGGCGGCAAAGAGAGACTGGGGACGATCACGATGTCGAGGTGTTGGTCGGGAGGAGGAGGGAGTGGTAGTGGAGGGAGGAAGACACTGCTGCACTGGCTCACTCCAAAGATGTCTTTGTCGGTATGGTGGCTCAACTGATGGAGCTGAAATAGCAGCAGCAGCAGCAGCAGCAGCAGCTGGCACTACCAGTCGATCACAAGTTGGTAATTGCTGCTGCTGCTGTGGTTCACTTGCAACTGTGTAACTACCGCCAGCAACTCTGCAGTCAACTGATGCGGCATTGTATTTCGTCGTAGACGGATCCGGTAGTGTGGCTACCTCATTCAGGACGCGCATGCACTCCGGGTAGTTGGGCTTGTTGTGGTGGTCGTTGTGGTGGTTGTTGTTCCTGCCTGTCCCCCTCGACTGACTACTGCTTCCCGGGCTGATGTTGCTGATGCTGCTGATGCTGGCGTTGGGAACGTGAAGAGGACGCCGTTGTTCGGCTGATTGACTGCGAAGATGAGCTTGAAACTGCTGAAAGGAGAAGGAGTCACAGCTAGTCGTGGCGCAACATGACGGAGAAGAGGAGGTGGCATTCTCAGAGGGCGCTAAATGGCGGCCATTCACTAGTGCTGCTCGGCCGATTGCCGATAATTCGGATGATCGGGCTGCAGAGGTGGCTGCTGATGATGCTGCTGCTGCTGCGACCAGAGAATCACAGGACGTAGAGTTGAAGTTGGACAGTGGTCCTGGTGGTGGAATTAATGATGGTGGTGGCGGTGGCAGTCGATTAGGCTTCAAGTGAAGTCTCCTCCCCGAGCCGCCTTCAGCAGTGTGAATGTCACTTTCACTTTCTTTAAACTTGTCTGATTTATCTGAGGAAAATGTGGTGGTCGTCCTCTCTAATGGTAGTGATCTATTTTGGGTTTTTGTCTCCTCGGCGGAAGAAGAGCCCTGCGGGGACAGTGCGGCGTTCAGCTGAGCTCGGTACAGTGAGAAGAGTACGCGTAGTATTTGTGAGGAGTTTTCTGTAATTAAAAATAAGGAAAAAAGCATCAGTGACAAAGAACTAAATAAAGTAAAGGATACTAATATGATAAAGTAAAAATACTTTATATCTAACTTTATTAGGTTGAAGTATAAAAAGATTGATCTTCTAAATTAAACACAAAAAGCGGTAAATACTGCCGTTGAAGTTAAAGGAAGCAAACTGCTGAAAAGGGCAGTGAGGAGGAAATGTTTGCCGACAGCTGAAGCGAGTCAAAGGGGACATGTAAACAGCACCGGTACAAGCGGGGGAGCAAAAGCCAAAAGTGCATCATCTGCGACAGCATTCAAACATTCTGAGGCGCAGAACGAGCAATCATACTCTAAACAGATGTTCAAACGGTTATCAGCGTGTTGACCTTTCCGTTGGACAATGTCTACAATTTCAGCCAGCGAGTAGACTATTAGATTTGTCTCATCAGCGATGTGCACTACCACAAACTAAATTAACACGTTGATTGTCCCCTCCCCCGCTGAATCTCTCAGGAGAGACATTTGCTCTTTGCCATTTTCCATGTGTTCATTTGTGTTCATTTGTCTTGTCTATTTACTGCCAAGACACGCACACCAGCCGTGTTGTACATGCAACAGTCGGATCAATTAAATTGATTAAAATTGAAAAAGCTAGAGGCAAATTCTTTAAAATGTAAAAAAATAAATTGAAAAAAACTGCTAATTATTGCGTAAACAATTCGCCAACCACTAAAGTTGTGATTGTTTATGTAAAACACTCAAAAATAATTTAATAAATGCTGTTTGTACATAAAACAAGGAAACTTTTTTGTTTTCAAAAAAAAATTTAAAACTATGCCACTCGAGTAATGAATGCAAATGGCAGGCAAGCACATAGCCTCCTATTAATTCGTGTGCATCTTTGCAAAGCAAACACACACACACACAGCCACCCAGACACACTCCATTTAGGAGGAAATTTCTGCCACCTCAATAGTTAAATGTGTAAATCACCAAGCTAAACTGACTTGGTGAGAAAAATTCAGAGACGCTATAAATTAAAGAGATTTGTTAGAAGAAAAAAGAAAAACATCCCAAGAAAACGTAAGGTAATGATTTACTTGACTAGAAAATGTGTCTTCATTCATTATATTTTTGTCTGATAAACTTTTTTTAATAGTTAAGTATGTCATTATCGTTTTTAAATCTAAGTTAAAAATATAAAATTGATAATAAAAAAACTTACCAAGAAATTCTAAGCAATTTCCGGTGATAGGATCTTTGGTACAGTTTATTGAAAAGTTTCTCGCCAGAGACTGGTGTGCTCTATGACTGATGGCCAGTTCTTTATCAACTGCAAATAGATGGCACTGATACTGATTCTGCTGATTGCTATCATCTCGTGTGATTATGGTGAAGTAGTTCTTCTCTAGTGGACTGGGCAATGAACAGTAGACAATTTGCTTTGATTGGATGATGGTTGTACTGTTTAAACCGTTACTGTAGTTGCAATTAATCAATTGGTCAAGTCTGACCAGATGAAGCTCGGTGGTGTAGGCGGCAATTAGCAAGGGATGACCAAATGCAGACTGGTTTGATGATTTTGTGGTCAAATGCTGTGTCAACTGCTTACTGCCTAGCTCTTGAAAAGATGAAGAAAACTGTGAAGAGTGAATGTGATGAGTAGTCGTCGAGAGACAGTAAACTATGGTGCGCAGAATGGAGTTCGAGTGAGAGTCGGTGAATTGTTGAGGTGAAAACTCAGATTTGGTGCTCAGAGTATTTTGAGGTAGTGTCGTTGTTGATGAATTTCCAAATGTACTGTTTGATGAGGTCGTTTGAGCTGGTAATTTCTAAAAAAATTGTAAAAATTAATTTTATGTTAAAACAATGTAACTTTTACTTTAATTTTTAGGTAATCAGGAAACCAATTTTGTGTTCATAAATATGAATCGTTTTTATTTATATTCTCACTGTATTTCTAAAAGTTTTCTAAATAAGAAAGATTCTATGTACCAATGATCATTATTATTCTTTAACGCAAAGCATACTACTATTTATTCGGTTCATTGGTCGTTTTATTCCTATTTTTCGCCCTCTCCAATTTGATCTGATTTATAGTTTTTCCGACACATCGACTAATCATAAGACAAATCGAAATATGATAAAGAAAAATAGTATACAAAAAAATATACAAAAATAGAAAAGATCATAATCAAAAACATTACAACTTTCCTTCAAGGTCGAAATAAGAAAACGCAGAAAACTAGGTAAACTGGAGCAAAATAATGTATGATAAATTGTTTGTTTTAAAAAGTTTAATCAATCATGATTATCATTAATATTTAAAATATAAGTTTTTAATTTTTTAAATAGTTAAAAATTAAGTTAAAATGTATTAGTTTTTCTAATCATTTACTGACTAAGATTTCTATTAAAATAAAAAATAAAAAGACAAAATAGTTTCATTTTCAATATGAAAATTAATGCATAATTGAAAATTCAGAAATAATAACTAAACAAAAAGAAATATAATTTGACAATCAGTCAAATGCACACAACTCCATTATTCTATCTTAAAAATATTTTTTGTTTTTGTATAAACTATTTTGTATTATTAAAAGTAAAGTAAAAACAAATACCTTTAGTTTAGATGTCCTTTTTGCTGGAACAGGGATGGTAGGTACTTTAAAATTGTCACCTAAATTTCCCAAACGATTGTCCCTTGTTGTGGTTGAGGCAGGAGATGAATTGGAGGATGACTGACCAGAGGGTGATGCCGAACTGACGCCTGAAGTGGTTGAGGTGGCTGGAGGACGAAATGAGGAGTGACTGGGTTTGTTTGGTGTTTGCACTGCTGCAAAGAAGCTATAAGGATCAAAGTGAGGTGGGTTAACGCTTTGGTTTGTGAAAGGGTAACTTGAAGATTGCTGATCGTTCTACAAATAAACAGACATTGGTTAGTTGAGTGTTGCTTATTGACACTTTTTTACTTACTTTGGTTGTTTCCTTTTGAAGTTGAGCTGCACCGGTTTTCGTCGATTGCTGTATGAGATTTTTTGTCTTTTCAATATTCCCCTTAAGCTCCTCTCCGATTTTTCGATGCTCAAATTTTGGCCTCAGCTCAACGCGATTTCGGCCCGGTCCGCACTTCAGCTTATGTCGGTAGTGTTGATGTAGTAAGAGTGACTCCTCCGTGCACAGGTTATCAATTGACTGAAAGCGATCGACGGCCAATCGAGACTGCTGCTGTCTGGCGGCTGTGCCTGTTCGGTGAGCGTACACTGATTTGGGTCGAGTGGTCGGCTTGCCGGCTCTGCTGATGTGGTGGCGTTCTTCGTGGTGCAGTGATGGCATATCACTGTCACTCAAGTGCAGCAGTCCATATGGATCTTTATGAGCCTCTCGGTGGCGGGGCAATTGCCGATTGCGCAATCCTTTTACGACCATCTGCTGTTCGGAGGCTTCGTAGGTTTGAGACGGACGGAGAATGGCGGCGGCGGCGGCGCTAGAACGACTAGATCGAGTAGACGGTTGGCTGCTTTGTTTACAATGATGATGGCTGTTGCTGCTGATGCTGTTTGGCTTTTGACGGTACCGGTGCCCTAATCGACTAGGCTTTCCACAGTTTGAGGAAGATGTGGACGAAGAGGAGGAGGTAGAGCAGACATCATCACTTTCATCGGGTTCATTGTCACTTGACTGCTGAAGATGATGGTGGTGGTGGCGATTGTAGAGGGCACTGCGTTTATTACTCACGCCGACAGCTGCTGCTGCTGCTGCTGCCACTACTTTGTCTTCCC